GCTAATACCACTGGACATACTGGGAAACGTGTACAAACACAGACAACGGTCATTGTTTTTTCCAGATGTTATCGTCTCGAGATACCGAATCAGATTTTGGCGTGCTATAAAAATAGGTCAGATTACCTATGTTGGAGGAAGCTTCATTACAGGTATGTTTAAAAGTTTTTATTTTACTTTATCAAGATAACTGAGCTCTGACTTTAAAGTTTTTTGTGCACTAGCATGGGGATCAATTCATTATTACTTCAACTTTAATTTACTTTATTCGTTCACTATTCCAGTGTTTATTGACGTTTTAACAATGACGTTCATAGCTCAACAAACTGTTCATATGCACCTCATGATTGGAAATTTTCTTATCATTTCTTTTGGAGTTGCTGATCACAGCCTTGACCAGTGTACGCAAAATATTATAAATTTTAAAAAAGTTTACAGTTTTTATAAAAAAGTTCCTTCATATTTAATTACCAAACTGTTTGATCAATTTCAAATTCATAAACGGAATTTCTTGTACATGCTTAGAAGTAATCAAGTAATTGGTAAAATGACCTATGCTCATGTGATTACACTAGCGCCTGGCCTTCTAGTGACATTTTGTTATGTTCTCTACAAAAAGAGCACTTTTAATATCTTTGTGTTTAGTTTTCTCATTGTAAGCTTATCTTTTCAAATTCTGTCCATCCCAGTCACTTACTTTCTATACGGGCTAGTGGCAGTAAAAATGTCTAAAGGAGCCCAACATGTGCCAGCAATTCAAATGATGTTTACTGGCAAACAATTTTCAAAATTAAAAATTTATTTGAATTTACACTATGAACTTCTTAATGGCAGAAGATCAGTCGGCATTAAAGTTGGACCATTGTCAACGATCACTAAACTAAAAGCTTTTAGAGTACGTTAAAAAATAATTTTATGATTCACTAACCTTTTTAGTTTTTAGTTTATGTTTCTCTACATATCATATTTCATGTTACTTTATCAAAGTTTTACAGTCATTTACAAATTATTTAAGTTTCAAAATAAAGACATAAACTAGTAGTTTTGTTTTTAAAATGTTTTTTATGTACAAAAAGTTCTTTGAGGAAACTAAATAAACAAAATTAATAAAATCCTAAACTGGCACGTCATTTTTATTATTAATTCATTTGATTTGCCTTAAAAAGGAAGTTCCTATTAAATGTAATAAAAGTGAGCGTGACAAATTGAATTGATTCATTGTTACTTATTTTATTAAAAATAAATGCAAAAACAATTTTTAAAAATCCTTATAAAATTTATTAGCTGTTTAATTAAAAAAATAAAGTAAACAAATACAAAGTTATTTTTACTCTTATAACAAAAAATTATTTTAAAAACATTTATTGACAAAATGTTTATCGTTTTTCAACTCTTAATATAATATTTCGCGGAACAACAAAGTTGTTCTGATGGTACATTTCAAATGGAACCTGGATAAAAACAAACTTAAGTAAAACACAGTTTTAATTTTGCAAAATAACAAGCTTACTTTTGTGGCCTCGCATCTGCTAAACTTGAATTTTCTCACAGTGTTCAACAGTGCATGCTTGACTTCCATCAGCTGAAATATTGCAATGCAAGTTGGAAAATGTTATAAATTAATAAAAAGTAAGTTTAAAACACTTACCGCTAAGCTTCTGGCGACGCAATTGCCTAAAGAAAGAGAAAAAGTTAGTTAAACGTGTTGGAAGCAGTTTCAAACTTAATGCTTACGGGGACCTTGTCCAAAAGGCAGATACGAGTACTTGTGATACTTGGGCTCTCCAAGGAAATGCTCCGGATTAAAGGTTTCGGGGTCTGGAANTTAAAACACTTACCGCTAAGCTTCTGGCGACGCAATTGCCTAAAGAAAGAGAAAAAGTTAGTTAAACTTGTTGGAATCAGTTGCAAACTTAATGCTTACGGGGACCTTGTCCAAAAGGCAGATACGAGTACTTGTGATACTTGGGCTCTCCAAGGAAATGCTCCGGATTAAAGGTTTCGGGGTCTGGAAAGTGGATGGGGTCACGATGCATTGAATAAATGGGAATGTGAATGACATCTCCCTTCTTCAAGTCAATTCGCACTGATCCGTCACTCGTTTGCAGTACAATGTCCTGTGATGCTGTTCGTTCGGTCGCCTGGGCAGGAGCATAGAGTCGAAGCGTTTCATTGACTACAGCATTCAAGTACTCAAACCGCGACAGCACTTCATGGCTTATCATCTCTAAAGTGCTCTTTCCTTCATTCTCTGGCTCACTTTTAAGTTTCTTTAGTACACTTTGAATTTCATCGTAAAGTTTCTCCTGAACATCCGGATTTAGTGCCAGTGAATAGACGGCCAAAGTTAAAGTTGTAGCTGTTGTGTCATATCTACGATGTGTTAAAAGCGGATTTAAATTAGTAAATTTAAAATTAACAAAGCAATTATGTTATCGTTTACCCAGCTAAAAAGAAAAGCACGCATTGAGCAACCATCTCTTCAGTTGTCATAAATTTAGAGCTCTTTTTCGAGATATCACTTTCGCCCTTTTCACCTTTTCCCGCTGCTTCATCACGTTCATTTTCCGCCTCAGCTTCGAGAATAAGCTCGATAAAAGTGTTTGCTTTTCCTATGAATAGATAACCATTAATATGTGTTTAAAAGTTAATAAATGACAGTAACTAACCTTTTTTGTGTTTCTTTAACTCCTCCTTTGCCTTTGTGATAATATCCTCAGAAAAGTTTTTGAAAAAATCCACAGTGAGGCCTCGGAATCGAATACCAAGTGCCTTTGCCAGTTTAGGGAATGCCATCATCAGAAGCATTTGAACGAAAATTGTTACTGTTATGTCTGTAGAAAACACTTTTTGCGCATTCAAAATGACAGGATTCATCGGATCATTAAGAGAGTCAATGCGCGTCCCGAATGCCACCTGTTGAGCAAGAAAAGTGTAAATACAGCTGAAAAGTTATGTGTGAACGCGTAGAATACCTGTACGATGGTGTCCATGGTGTAGCTTCCAAACAGCCTTTTGACGTCCACATCAGGTGCTTCGCCGACGGCAATTTCAAAGTTGTTGAGCAAATTCTGAACAGTTTCGTCAATTCGAGGCTTTATTCGTCGCAAACTGCCTGATGAAAAGGTGGGCGTTACGATGCTCCTCAATCGCTTCCATTGATCATCAAGTACGGCGCTGAGTAATTGTCCAAACACTGGATCGTCAAACTTAAAAACCTTATCACCAAAATAAAATTAGTAAAAACTCTCAAAAATATTTTTACTTACCCGTCGGTTTACGAAATTTGTGAACTCGGTTGATAGTACCTTTTGAACAATTTNCAAAATTAGTAAAAACTCTTAAAAATATTTTTACTTACCCTTCGGTTTACGAAATTTGTGAACTCGGTTGATAACACCTTTTGAACAATTTCAGGTTCGGCGCACAAAATTGTGTTCGACCTTTAAAAAAGATGACAAGTTATTCTTTTGCTACTGATTATGCTAATCAAGTGACTTACATCATCATTTTAAAGCCAAAAACTTTCTTTCCGGTCTTTTTGATAATTTCATCTTTCGTTACCTCAACTCTCTCCTTTTTTAGCACTGATAAGATGGAGTTGTTCATCGGAATGTAAAGCACATTGCGCTTTTTGAACTCTTCATGTGTCTTGTGGTCAGACCATTTCNTCAGGTTCGGCGCACAAAATTGTGTTCGACCTTTAAAAAAGATGACAAGTTATTCTTTTGCTACTGATTATGCTAATCAAGTGACTTACATCATCATTTTAAAGCCAAAAACTTTCTTTCCGGTCTTTTTGATAATTTCATCTTTCGTTACCTCAACTCTCTCCTTTTTTAGCACTGATAAAATGGAGTTGTTCATCGGAATGTAAAGCACATTGCGCTTTTTGAACTCTTCATGTGTCTTGTGGTCAGACCATTTCATGAAAAGGTAAATGGCAGCGCCAACGATTGCTGTCCAAAAGAAAAACACTATCATGGTTGGTTTGAGTTTCAGTAGCTTAACTTTAGTGTTGATGAAAAACTGTCAGTGGATTTGTTATTGTGCCAAACTGATGCACACTGCTTATATAAGGTAAGTTTGGCGGGCTGAGGATTTTTATGTTTGTATACGGCAGTGCTTTGCAGAGAGGCGAACCAGTCTGCTGGTGGCTCCTGCTTCAGTCGCACTTGCAATGGTGATGCAACCAAGGCCGACCAGTTGATTGTGAGTTGATTGCACGAGAAGCAGCACAATTGGTGTTTGTTGTCGTGCGACGGTCGAAAATATTACGTTCTGATTTGTGTCTAACTTTATGGGTTGCCTGTTTATCAGTTTGTAATTCTGTTGTCTCTTTCTACTCGATTTATCCACATGATTGTCACTTGTCGCCTGGTATCAGTCAGCAGAGGTGATCATAGATTATGTTATTTTGGATACTAAATTTAGTACATTCAAAAGTACTAAATAACACATCACCCTGCATGCGACGTGAGAATTCCATTCTTAATCGATATCTTTAAAATTAGTACTCTCGTAATTAAAAATTGAATTATTTCTGAGCAATTTACTACAGTCGCTTGAAAGGAAGCAGACGACGCAGAATCTCATCTTTGAACACTTGAGTTTGTTGGGAAGCGTATTGAGAAAACTGAGCTCAGGTTCAGTAGGCTCCAAAATGGAGGAGTTGGCGAGCATGGTGAATGGTAGTGCGGGAAGGCAGGCCTGGTCGGCAGTGCACCTCAGTGGCCACTCTGCCCAGCACATCGTTTCCCACAAGCGAAATCCCAAAGTGTCTGCCTGACAGGCTGGACTGCACTGCAGACAGCATAGGTAAACAAAGCCTTTCTCTTCTCTCTCCCGTCTCTCCTTATTCCCTCGATTGGCCACTTCGTCTGCGTCTTTGTGCGTCACATTTTGACTCTTTAGTTGAAGATTCATCTGTTCAGCACATTCGCCACGCATCAACCCTTAACCGACCATATACCTCAGAACGTACTTAGGACTTTTAAAATATGTCTGAACCTATTTCCAGAAGAGCTTCTCACGCTGGTAGCTGGTACAGCTCATCCAGTAAGTTTTCCACCCTTTGAAACTTGCACTTGGAAGACTAATGATATCGAGTTATGTTTTCAGAAACACAACTCAACAATCAGCTTGAAAACTGGCTAAAGGCAGCTGGTCCAAACAAGCACGGGCCTGCCCGAGCCATCATTTCTCCGTAAGCCAATTCGTGGTACCGCTATAACAGCTGAATTTTATGTAATGCATTAATTTTTTTAGTCATGCTGGCTATCAATACTGTGGAGCTTGTGCGGCTTATGCATACAAGGAGATATGCCCTACTACGACGTAAGATGTAACAGATAATTGGGACGATTAAAACTATTTCATTTGGTACCAATAGGAAGCGCATCTTTATTCTTGGCCCATCGCATCACATTCATTTAACTGGTTGTGCTCTTTCTACTGCATCCGTCTACGAGACACCTCTCTACAATTTGAATATTGATCGTGATGGTAAAACGAATGTTAAGTCACCTCTGACCCTCAATTAATGTTTTTTGCGTTAACAGTTTACGAAGAATTGTACAGCACCAATGCCTTTGAAAGGATGACCATCAATGCCGACCAGGAAGAGCACAGCATAGAGATGCAGCTTTCTTACATTGCCAAGGTGATGGAATCCGTCGGTCCATCAGGCTTCAAAATTGTGCCCATCCTGGTTGGGTCTCTATCTACTGACAAGGAGGAAATGTACGGCCAATTGCTTGCCAAGTATCTGGCCGATCCAGCCAATGTTTTTGTCATCTCTTCCGATTTTTGCCATTGGGGATCTCGCTTTAGCTATCAGCATTACGAAAAGAGCTGGGGTGAGATTCATGAGTCAATTGAAAAGTTGGACAATATGGTAAATAGCAAAGTGCATCCTTCTACTCGGCCTAAATTAAACTATAAAAATTCTTAACAGGGAATGAGCCTGATTGAGTCACTTGATCCAAGTGCTTTCACGGCGTATCTGAAGAAGTATCGCAATACTATTTGCGGACGTCACCCGATTTCGGTGTTGTTGAACGTATGTGTGATGCCATTTTGAAATTGCTTACATTTTATTCTAACCTTGGACATTTTAAAGGCTGTTCAACATCTTCGATTGACCACTAGCAACGGCCAACCAGGAATCAGTGGAACTCTACGATTTCTCTACTATGCTCAGTCTTCGCAGTGCCTTCGCATGCGTGACTCGTCAGTTAGCTACGCGTCCGCCACGCTCAATTTAAGCAATTGATTCATTCTTTGAATCAGAAAACTTCTGTGCATCGTCCTCAAACATCTTTTTGCCACTCTTTATCAATCATTCACAATTTTTCGGGACATCTTCCAAAAAAGCTATAGTTTCTATGAACAAATTCACTACTCTTAGCTATTTCAAACAATTCTCTCCTTCCCCTGCAATTATATCTCTTGTATTTCATTACCCCACCTAATTAGCAACTAATTTTACAATTTTATTCTTTATGTACTGCAGGCCCTTTTGCCTGTTCAATTTTTATGCAACAATCCCGTCTAAAGAAATCATTATCTTTAGTTCTGGATGCATAACTTATGATATAATTTTTACACGGCTTGTATGCATTAACTTTTATACCAATTGTATATGATAATACAATTTATATTAAATAAATTTAAATACAACAAAAAGATTTATTATTATGCGGTTTACAAAATGAACACAGTTATTGTTAGCGTCTCTTTCTACTTGAGTTTGTGTTTTCCAGAAAACTTCTAATTTTATTTACATTGTTTTTGAGATCTTCAATTTGTTCTTTAACAACCATGTTAGCTGTTTCAATAAAGTCAATGTTTTCTTTCATTGTTTTCATATTCTTAAAGGTTTCGGCTAGTAAGGTGTCACGATTTAATTGACGGTAGTGTTTAATGGTCAAGATCATAGCAGTGAAAGAGATGATAATGAAAAGAATTATCCAGATTTGTGGTACTTGAAATCGGCGAATGTAACGTCCAAAAGGTCGGCTCGGAATCATTTTAGTTGATGTTAGATAAGATTACTTTAACTAATTTACCAATGAAGTTTTCTTCTACTTAAACTGACACCATTAAAGGGAAACATTTTGTAAATATTTTCAAAATTTTAGATCATTTGTCGTTACAATTTTATATCGTTTATTAATAAATTAGCTTGTAGCCTTTTGAAAAAAATGCATTTGTTGGTGTACACTCAAAATATACACTCGGCCTTTCTGATGAGCTTAATTTACAGAAAGATTTCTTTTGAGCACATTCGTTGCATAAATATTTCGTCATTTAAATTCTGTTGGAACCTTTTAATTACACTATGATTTTCTATTAGATACTAATTTAACTGACATTTTCACTTTTAGTAATCAAACTGTGCTTTTAAATGCATCAGTGGCTAGTGTCTCTTTTGGAAAATCGCAAGTAAATGATGGCCTTGACGCCTGGCAAGTAAACAATGCTCACTCGCTTACCAACAAGAAGATAAAATAACTGACAACTGAGTTGGAATTATAAAAACCAATATATGAGCGCGCTGCAATGCGATGGTAATCTTTCACTTTCACTTTTGTAACCTTGTGCTCCAGACACTTTGATTTAGTCTCTCTATCTACATTATTAGACTGTCAAAGTTGTGTCACACACGGACAAACATACTCCTTTTTTATGTTGTTAGCTTCCTAAAAACAGACAATTGTAAAAAGCAATTAAAAATGCCAATGTCCAATGCTGTTGTCTACTCAACCGCGACTGTCGCCGTAAGTGGAACTTTACTTTGGGTCTGGTTAAAGTGGAAGGACGCCCAACTTCGTCGTCAGTTTCGCGACAGGAATATTCAGTTTGTTGACTTTCCCAACTTGATAAGTCAATCGTTTAGTAAGAAGCACTTTGAGCAAGAAGAGTACGATCGGGTTAAAAAGTATGGCAAAATATTCGCCACCAAAATCTTTGGCCAGCCAACCATATTTGTCGCTGACCCTGAACTTATTCAGCTTATTTTGTCAAAAGATTTTACCAGCTTCACTAACCGAAGGGTAAGTTTTTT